CCGTTCTCTGTGACCTGAAAAATTGATAGTTTTTCCGTAAAGTAAGTGCACGGAAGCTAGAGTCATGAGCAAGCGAAGCAAATGAAAATGAAGTAGGTGGCGCTTAATGGTGCGACAGCTAGTGCAAGCCAAAGGGCCCAAAATGAAGACGACTCGCCCGTGGCGAGATTAGAAACGAAGTGACGGCTGCGAAGTCGGCTTGGTTCGGAAACTGCCGCACTTTTGCTTCTTGGGTGCCTTCCCTCTCTATGTATGAGTATATTGTCAGTTCCCCAAAAGCAGCAGCTCCTGCTGCTGCCCGGAGAGATATATATGTGGAGCACGTACGGGTTTTGGAGTGTTATCGAAGGGAGTGCGGAAACAAACGCAAAAACGGAATTTGCTCGATCGGCGGATTCTTGCCTCCGTATCTCGCGAATTTCGTTCCATCTCGCCACCAGCCACAGAAGAAGGGCAGCACAGCTGGCGCGATATCGGTGTCGTCAGCTTCACCACAGCAACAACCCTTTCGCCTCGTTAAACGATTCCGCGGTTTTGGTAGCGACCACCTAATAGACTTATCACTCACATTAAGTGCATGTGTGTGCACGAGCCTGCATACGTGTGTATGTGTGCATGCGCGCTTCCGTTTGTGAGCGTTTGCGCGGGCACTTACGGCATAATATACGAAAGTATACATGTATTGTCACTATTGAATGTAGTTTAGTTTTAATGAGATCCTCTTGCGTTGATAGGTGCGTTATTATGGGCATAAACATATAACACTGTCTGTCCGTCCGTCTGTCCGTCTGCCCGTCTGTCTGCCCATCTATCTCTCTATCTCTCTGTCTGTCTGTCCGTCCGTCCGTCCGTCCGTCTGAACCTTAGAGTGGAAAAGACCGCCAGATCGTGGGTGGGATGCTCAGGATACAGAAAAGCGAAATGTGCGTGTGTGTGTGAGAGAGAAAGAGAAAGCGAAAGGATAAGGCAGTCTAGTAGTTACCTATTCATACTTATAAATTACACGCCTTAAGGCGACAGGAAGAAAGAAATTGATTGATTTGTGGGGTTTAACAGGAAGAAAGAAAGGCACCACACAAAATATATGGTAATTTCAATGCGAGGTCACTCGATTATCTAGCCGGGATGTTCTTACGGAACGGGCGACCATACGCACGGTGAAAATTCGAGACAGTGTTTCAATTCACGTGTCTTATTACTTGCCAGCACGAGCTATATGTAATGGGACCTCTCGTCACTGCGCGTCCGCGAATGGCGGAAATCAGAAACTCTATGCAGCTTCTTCGCTGAAACTGTGAAAGAGTGCGCTAATAGCTTATTCCCGGTTCTGCGCGACCCGCTAAGAAATATACCAATACATCCTGCATAAATTCAAAGCTCAGGTTAAGGAGCACGTCTTTACGTGTTTCACGCAATTCTTAGTAATGATGAAAGTGCGAGTTACCAGAAGATGACGCTGTGGTATACTTAACGAATATGGGCTAGGCTCTTTTCTGTTTTCGTTTTAAGCAATAAGTATAGCTATGGGAAACCATATACTTGGTTTACGTGGCTAGCGCAAGAGCGCCTAAAAAAACAAAAAAGAGGAGGCACAAGTGGTGTACGTATGGAAATATCATCATTTCGGCAATCAAGGTTTACGTTTAGAATTAAATTAAGTTAAATTAAACTAGAAAAATCACCGCCAGTGTTGCTGACTGCGACGCGCATAACTTAGTCGTTGAAATTCTTAGTCCTTCATGAACTTTTTTTTTTCGATAAGAAAATAGCTAATCAACTTTTGGCGAATGTATCGCAAAAACAATGATTTTTTATAGTTTCTTTCGGGGGTATCAAATTACCTAAAATTTATCAATTCGTTAGCTACATAGTTAAATCTGCTCCGCAATTCCTCGCTCGTTCACAGAAGAACAGACAAGAGATCGTATCGAAATAAACTGGGGGCGCCCGCCGAATGCGCGAGAAATAACGGCATACCAACGATCCCGCGAGTGCGCTTTCCCGCGGTTCTAGTTCGACCAGCGGTTTATTATGGCTCAGAAAACTATAAGAGATTCTCGCAGTTGAACGCACGCGTTCGAAAGATGCGATAGTAGAGGTTTTTAGTTTGACGTTTTTGTGGTCCGCTCCGCTCCGGGAGCACCCGCGAAGGCGCAGCGGAGCGGTGGCTGAATTTTCTCTTTTAGTTATTCGTTGCCGGCAGCGAAGCGGACCTTTCGCAGTTGCAGCGCCCTCTGGTCGTTTTCATCGTCGGTAAACAAAATAAAAAAACATTTTTTTCACGTATACAAAGCAAAACAATAACGTAAAGATGATCTTTTCATGCATTATTTAGATATCCACTTTCAATGTATTAACCGCCTATTTTTTGACAAAGAAGCAAGCTCTGACTTGATAGTAACCGCTCAAAAGCCAGCAAGGTTCCGTTCCAGATCCATTGCAAGCATTCACTGTGTGTTTTTTGCGCATTTTACGCGTGTGTGGCGGCGCGTTTTTAATTTTCACCGTTGAAACTGTGTTTTCGCGGCTTGCGCTGGGCAGGCGACGGCCAAGCTGCAGCACTCGCGGAAAGCGTGCCGTCTCCGGAGGCAGCCATCTTGAAATGAGCAAAGTTGCTGCACGCACGAGAGAGGGCGCGCGCGTTGTCCCCCTTCGCTTGCAAAAACGGCAGCGACGCACCGCGCTCCACTTAGGCTGCTCGCAAGCGGACCGTATTCCCCGCTCCGGTAACCGGCTTAAGGCCTTAGCGGAGGGCGCATGCGCACTCGCGTTCCCGCTCCGCTTAGCTGCTAAGCGGAGCGTAAAAACGTCAAACTAAAAACCTCTAGTGTCTTTATGTGAGCGTGAACCTCTGCATATTGTTTATCATTATATTTAATCGCTTTACGTTTACGTCATAAGCGTACGCGTCCACCGACACGTGGAACCACCTTGGATGCGCGGTACGCATTGCACAAATGGTTCGCGTAACCGAAGAGCTCAGTACCCTGCAAGTCTAGTAAGAAACCTTGCAACACAAATTGAGCACGGTGGAAGAACGATGCCGATCGGTATAGTCGAACTTGCTGAGAACATGCGAGCCATAAATGGTGCCTCAGTACGCGGCCCGTAAATAACAACTAATTATGAACATTAACTGAAAATCACTCCCTCTTCTCTCAACCGATGAAGCAATATTCTCAAATTACCATGGCATATACCCAAAGTCCACGGTCATTGGCTGACTTGAGCATCAAGAGCATGGCCTCCGAGATGGCAGGCTCGCGGCGTCTCATGCTGCGCCCGCCATTTCAGAGGCCGTGTCGCGAGCTTCATAGTGTTACGAAGGCGCAACGCCAACACGGTCCCAAAGGCGCCACTGCTCCGAAACTCGCCGCCAAGGTCACCAGCCATTTGGTAGCGTGTTTCACAGCTCGCGACTGCTTCTGCGCAGAGCTGATAGACGAGCGAACAAGACGACGGTGAGTTAAGACGAGGTTTACGTACAGCGTAGAAATAGAGGCGTTACAAATTCGACACTGGGGCCGACAGCTTAAAGGACTCGAAGAGCCGAGATGTCTTCTCTCTGACACACACGTCGGCTGTTCTCTGACGCATAGGTCAGCTGCTGGCAACGCGCCGCTTGGCTTTTTTTATAAGCACCGGGTGAACCTTTGCGTCACCAACGTCCAAGTAGAAGTGCTGCTGGCCGTGCTGTCAAAATCCTCCGATGGGGACACGACGCTGGGCTGCGTCACGATCATCAAATCCGGAGCCGCTGCGCTGGGTTGCATTTAAGGACGAGTGATGTTGCAACGCATCGTGTAAGTTTCGCTAGACTGGATGGCGCCTATTGCTTCATCGGGCTCGTGACCTGAGGGAGCTCGCTTTGCGTTGCGTAAGACAGACTGGCGCCACCGCTTGATGACGTCGTTGAGTTGATGGCGTCGGGCGGGCTCGATCACTGGCATTGACGTTCGGTGTGGACTCTAAGGTGTAACAATAGTTACAGGGGCTAATGCAGAATGTCGCGACGGGCCCACGTGCTCATTCGCGATCAAAGTGAAAGTAAGCTGTGCGTTTGAAAAAAGAAAACGAAGAGAAGTTACTCAAGAAGGTGCTGACTAACGGACGTTACTATAGCTTCATGCCTTCTTATCATTACCATCCCCCCAAACCTTACGCAGTTTTCAGCGCGCTTGCTGCTTACATGCACCGCTTATACACGAACTGTACCGCTTATACGCGGCCCCGTCGTCTAACGCTAGCTCTATATACGATTGTTCGTGCAAGGATGAAGCAATCGCCTCATTCTCTCACACGTGCTAACTTCTCAAATCATATTGCCCCGCCGCGGTGGTCTAGTGGGTAAGGTACTGGGCTGCTGACGGGTTCGAATCCCGGCTGTGGCGGCTGCATTTCCGATGGAGGCGGAAATGTTGTAGGCCCGTGCGCTCAGATTTGGGTGCACGTTAAAGAACCCCAGGTGGTCGAAATTTCCGGAGCCCTCCACTACGGCGTCTCTCATAATCATATGGTGGTTTTGGGACGTTAAACCCCACATATCAATCAATTCTCAAATCATAGAAGTCTGGCAGTTTGGGCTAGTTGGTATGACATGACGATAGTTATGGCGCGAGAACAGAAGGACGACACAGACACAAGAAGTGTCCTTCGTATCCTACTTGTCTCTGTGTCGTCGTTCTGTTCTCACACTATAACTATCATCTTCTCACATCACTTGTAAAAGTCGCGCACCTTCGCTTTAGCGACGAAAAATCGCGACGTATACGCCCCACCAAACATAGAACACCCGCTCAATCAATTAGTACGGCATGATCGACCTGTTCCCATTTCACGAATGCGAGTATACACGGCTTATCAGTTGTCGCGTTGAGAGGGTACCATTGAAAAGCGGAAAAACGTATATGATGACGCAAACCACGCGCAAACTTGTGCCGTTACGTAGGAAAGGAGTAACAATACCTAACACGAGTGAATGTACATGAATACGCACTCACGAATTGAGAAAGGAGAGGACTGGTCACCAGAGCCCTTTCATCTGGATCAGGCAGGCGTTTGTGCTGCAAGGAGAGCGAACAAATATTACACGTCTGACAAACTAAATCCCAATACTTGCTTTCACAGATATACTACACACACACACACACACACACACACACACACACACACACACACACACACACACACACATATATATATATATATATATATATATATATATATATATATATATATATATATATATATATATATATATATATATATATATATATATATATATATATTATTTTTTTTCATATGTCTTAGAATTGATGCGTTGATGACTCAAGACGACCTTGTCCTGTGCTTGTAACATGACGCATAGTAGCGCACGTGGTGTAAATATCGCTTTGATGAGCTATGACTCAGCGAAAGTTCAAGCACGCTTTTTTGCCCTCGACAATAAACAGGAATTCTTTCAACGGCGGTACTCGTGCGATGCCATTTCATCACATATACTTAGCAAGTGATGTATGATGTCTCTCCCCAGTCCTGCAATACATATAGCGGAGCTGCACCACCTACCGATAAACCAATTTTTGATTAATAAACCGATTGTATTTGAGTACCCGCGTTTACACCATAGCTCATGTTCGCCTATAGATCAGTAAGCACATGCGGTCTGTGTTGTAAAGTGTGTTAAAACAACAAACGACTTTCCATGTTGAGCAAAGTGCATAATTGTTCTGGAACTTCAGTGACGTCTGTATACGTTGCCATTGCATTTTTTTTTTCCGTAACGTGCCACAAGGCGACACTATTCTTGATATTGTGCAGAATCTTGCTATTTGCGAGATCACCAGCAATTCAAATCAAATCAGTCAATAAATCAGTAAAACATTTGAATAAAAGTTATCTGCAATCCATGCAAAGGTATTTAAGGCTCCACCGCGGTGGTCTAGTGGCTGTGGTACTCGGCTGCTGACCCACAGGTCGCGCGATCGAATCCCGGCTGCGGCGATTGCATTTTTGATGGAGGCGAAAATGAGGTAAGCCCGTGTGCTCAAATCATGGGTGCAGGTGGTCGAATTTTCCAGAGCCGTCCACAAAGGCGTCTCTCATAATCATGTTTTTGTTTTGGTACGTTAAACACCACACATCAATCCATCAAACGTGTAAAAGCACATTTGGACGCGTAGTGCTTCAAAAAAGAAGCGGCAAACCTGACAAAACATTCATAGGAGAAAAGTAATTTAACTCCCGCTCCACCTCAAACGAAAAAAAAAAGAAGAAAAGTCCCGGAAGTGGTTGATCATGAAATCATAATGAGTGGGGAATGAAAAACGAGTATCATAATGAACTATGGTACGACAGCGTATAATACAGTGCCGGACGCAGAATCGAAGAGCTCGCCGCGAGATTAAAACTGAGCAGGCTGTTCGCAAGAGAAAGTACAAGAATGAGAGATCGGCACTCTTTGACGACGATGTTAATTTTTCGAGTATAGTGGCTTCCTCGTCATACTAATTGAGCTGCAGGCATATGATGGTGAGTTTTTCATTAGAATTTCATTTAATATGCCTACCCAATTAAAAAGAGCGTATACTTCATTCGTTGATAAAAATTCCCAAAAATGATGCTCATCTTCGAAGAAAAAAAAAAGGCAATTACTTATTATGGCGGCTTAAGTCTCGGCACACCAGGAACGAACCATAAACAATCATGAAGATCGACGCAAGAACTGCATATCCTGCTTCAAATAAATGTTCAAATAAGTAGTCAACTAGTTCTCAAATTGTCAGATGATCAGAAGCATCTAGAAAACTTGCAAAAAACAACCTCCAACTTTGGCAACACCAATAACGCATCTCTGAAAGATCTTACTGAGAGGCAAAGCCTAACACAGTACATAAATATCCCAGCGCCTAATGGGATTGAATGGAAACGTAGAATATCTGCCGGACCATCCATTTTTAATGAGTTCACCTCTGTGTAAAAGAACGAGTCGGCTTATGCGTCTACATGTGTTTTTCTACAGATTTAAACGATGATGAGTGGAGGCTTTTATTGAAATAGTGGCCAGAAGCCTGAATAATATAAATAATATTATAGTTGCGTACACTCTTCTCACCTTTTGAGGGTAAGAAACAAAGAAGGAAGGCGCAGGAAAACATGGCATGACAGAAAAAAAGAAAGAAAGAAAGAAAGAAAGAAGGAAAGAAAGAAGGAAAGAAAGAAAGAACCTGTTTAAGGTACACAGAGATACCATTAAGGCGGAAATGTTGTAGGCCCATGTGCTCAGATTTGGTTGCACGTTAAAGAACCCCAGGTGGTCGAAATTTCCGGAGCCCTCCACTACGGCGTCTCTCATAATCGTATGGTGGTTTTGGGACGTAAAACCTCACATATCAATCAATCAAGAGATACCATTAAGCCTAGTTATACTGATTATCCTTCCAAAGTCGGTTAAAACCTATATATATATATATATATATATATATATATATATATATATATATATATATATATATATATATATATATATATATATATATATATAAGCTCCTCTAATAGATGCCACTGTTCCGCACAGACGAAAATTTTCATAAACGCCGCACCGAACAGCACTGGCTCAACTGCGTGACGTCACGTGACTATTCGAACTTAGAGTGACTTTGCCATACAGAATTGTGGTTACGTCGTCCGGCAACCTGCAGCATATATTCGCACGGCACCGATCGGTGAAGCGTGATTACTTTAAGTGGGGAGAATGACCTTTTTCGTTAGTAATACGCGTAGTAATCGAATCAGCAGAGACACAACGCGGACGATTACAATGGAAATCGCCTAGCATGTTTACAAGGATGCCGGCCCGGCACACTACCGTTTTCGGGGCGGAGCTTGTTCTTCAAGTTTATTCTTGCGTTGTAATCGACTTTACACTCGCAGAAAAAAAAAATATTCCCCTTAGAGAGTCCTCGCTTGCCATATATATGACTCTCTTCAAAGAGACACTTAACCCTTTTGTATGTCACACGACTCTCAGAAGAGAGTATAATGACTCCTAGAAGGGCACTGACGTGCCTTTTTAAGAAGAGTCATATTCGTGGCAAGTCATACTCCCCAAAAAGAAGCCACACATATCCTTTCTTTTTTTCTTAGAGTGTGAGGGCCTATCAATGTATTTCGCGTAGCGGTATCAAGGACAGCCCGCTACCAGAATGGACGCACTCACGTTAGTTACACGTGACTTCACATTGTGGGGCTCTATGCAAATAAGGAGCGCAAACGTCACAGAAGTCGCGGCACTTCAGAGCGCTCTCCTAAGACAGAGGTTGCATCTTTTCCTTTTCTCAACCTCTCTCTCTCTCTATAAGGAGAGCGCTCTAGAGCGTTCCGAAGCGATCAATCTAAGATGACACGTGAAACGTGGTGGCGTTGATTTTCTTCTTTTTTTTTACATTAGGTTAGGCCTCTCGCTTACAAACAGAAAACTCCGTTGTCGCTATACACACGAAGGGTTCTCATTAGCGACGCCTGATAAATAACTCCTTCAGCGTAGAGGGCTGTCACTGTCACAGTCTCTCGACGAACAGTAGGTACTTCTAGGCCAACGCGACGTCTTGAGAAGACTGACGACTCATGTTGGATTTCACTCGTAACCAATCGAAACCATTCAGGCTTCGTACGCGAGTATCGGCCGCAAGGCAAAGTGCGCCGTAATTACGTCACCCGCTCAGCGCCGTGACAGAACTGAGTTCGGGAAGCTACAATGATACTAATGTCTGAGCCTGCGAATTTCCATATTTGCTGGAAGAGGAGGATTTGCATCCAACCGCGACAGTGTGCCTAATTAATTAATAAGCTACGGTATAACAAAAATACGAACACCACGAAGTCGCTAACGCCCAAAAAAAAAGATAAAAGAAAGACATAAAACGAAACGATAATGGCAATATTCGCGCTTGTTGCGTCTCGTCAGCGCGCGTTTCGCGCAGATTCAATTTATTCGGACGCCACAAATGACGTCCTGAATAATTACTTCATTAATAACCGCGCAACGGGGATTACTTCTGCTTCTGGTTTACTCTCTTCCATACGCATACAACTTAGCTCTGTCAGGCAATTTAGTCCCAAGTCAAATTGCAGACGTTCACTTTCTTGGTTACTTCGAAAAATTATGCCCTTTGCTTTTGTTCTGAGAACGCACTTGACCTTTCAAGGTTCGTTTATACTGCTTGCTTTTGACTTATAAACGCTTGTTTTCAGTGACATCGTTTGTTTTGGAATTGATTCTAAGCTGAGACCCTCTATACTTCACTAGTTTTGCATGAGGCCTCTGCACTACTACGTTCTCTACGCCAGACGATGCATTTTGCAATTAGGGCTGCTTTGATAGACCATGCAGCCATGACGAAAACGGCTTAGCCGTAATTACCGATTTCGGGATGCCGATAATCAATGTTCACGAAGAAAGGTGGTTCGGCGCTGTAATGAGCGAGTGCCTATAGATATATTTTATTAATTTGCAAAGGGCTCGAGAACGAAAAAAAAGTATAGACACAACCGAAGAATAGAGAAAACGCGTGTACCTGTCTGCGCTGCCACTTTTAAAGTTTGTTCGGTCTGTTCTTACAAGGTACTTCTTGATTGGATCCGTGTTGCGCAACGAAGCCTGGAATGCCGGCCCTTGATGAAGATGAGGAATTAACGAGCCCATCGAGACGACTCCAAGCCGCGGCATGCGTGCCACGCTGGCGAAACACCTGGGTCTTCGGCTGATTGTTGTATTAAACGTGCGCGCTGTATTTTCGGGACAAGCGCATGCGCGGGTAATTGACGGCTACACTGCGCGAGTGTTCAAGAGAACGTCTCAATTTCGAAAGCGCGCCACGTTTACCTCCCGCGGGGCCCTCGTTTCCCGCGCTTTTCTCAACTTCGTTTTATACGGAGGGACGTCGTGCGAGAGCAAAAGGTGGTAACGAAAATTTTGAATGCTCACGATCTGACCGTAAACAAAACGATCCTATCAACATAGAGCGTCGTGGGAGTAAAAGAAGAGTAAAAGATAAGGATACAC